TTCGTTATAGCGTTAACGAAGATTCTTATAACGAAGTCCTGATCGGCTGGATCGGCAACTTCGTTATATCGAGGTGTAACTGTACTAGTTGATTGAATATAAATATAATCCTATCTAAGAGCTTGTCACCATTCAGACCCGTTTACTGCTAATAGAATATGCTTTACAATTACACTTGGTATAAATAAGCAAAAAAAAATCTTAACTTGAAAAGAATTAAAGGCTTGGCTAGTCCATTTCACTAAACTCATAGGTGTTTTTTCCCAACTCATTATGCTTAGGTAAAGCATAAAACTTGGCAAGAACCAATTGTGATTTAGTTTAAAATAGTTGGGATCTTTTAGTAAAATCTAATGTGAAAAAGTTTATTTTTATAAATAGCAAAAAGACAAGAATAAAACATACTGAAAAAATAAACCTATCCTTCAAATTTTCAGTCAAAATAGATGAACTATTTTTTCTGAAGGCATTGAGAAAGCGTTATATTTTAATGGACATTTTCAAATTGACTTTTTAAAAAGAGTCAAATTTGCAAAGATGATTTATGTATTTATGTATACCAATATCAGCTAAATGCATCATAGTATTAATTTACTGCGGTTTTACCAGACCTAAAAACTGCGGCCATGTAATTATCATTTCGGCGCAATTATTGAATTATCCACCACTTTATCCAAAGGATCTTACTGTTACATTTATTTTCACGTAACAAGAGCGGATAAAAAAATCACTAACCCGTATTATCTTTATATGATCATTTTTTCAGCTGACAGGTCCATATCCAGTGTAACAACCATAACGCCCAAATTTATAACTAAAATTTTAACCAAAAAGTGATACGAAGGAAAAGTTACACAACTGTAGCATTATTTTTGCACACTAATCTAAATATGACTGGTTTGACATTTTTAAAATTTTTTTTTTTAATGAAACAAAGTTCAAAGAAAATTTCATTTTTTCCCTCCTAAAGAAGGGTTGTGTCGCGGCACAGCCGAAATATTTAAGTTTTATCCCTATGAAAGAAAATTTAAGTATATCATTCGTTTAAAATTTGTATTTTTTCCTCATTTTGGTATTCATTAGAATCAAGATAATTACTGCATTTTTGCATTATTTATTGTTTGGAACCAATTAACAATACCCTTTTTGTTTATTTTGACATGCTTTTGAGGTCGAAAAAAATAACAACAATAAATAATAAGAGGTGAATTCCTATTTTAGTCTTATTAATTAAAATATTTTTTGGTACTATAATTACCCATAAATTTAAATTTGTATTTACCCACGATTATTTGTTACATGAATCTAACTTGTCTCGTGCTTTTTTATTTTGAACGCGATTTTGAACCTAAATTTTTCTTCCAGTATATAGTACCTTAATTTTTATTTTACTAAACAAAATGGCTACAAAAGAAATATAAATAGGAGAGGAATTTGTAATCCCTTTTACGTGGAGATCTTTTTATCGAAATAAATATGATTCAAATTGTAAAGGTTCCAATTATAGATGGTAAAGTAGATGAAGAAGTTTATAATAATCAATTAGACGGTTATGTACGTATAAAAAAATTTATTTACAATGTCATTCTAAATTAGTAATAACCTTTTCTTTATTTTGCTTCCTCTTCTCAAAAGTTCACAAAAGAAGAATTTACGTCCCGGTTAAAATCATTTAATCTGGTTTATAAAACATATCAAGAGAAATATTTAAAACATATCATATTACCCTTGCTCTTACCGATATTTTGTATAATAACGATATTTCCCGTAGTCATTATAAAACAAATCCATAGAGGATATGTTACGCCTAAACTACTTTCAAAGAATTATATTGGATTAATTGGTGGAATATTACCATTGATCTTTGTTGGTTGTATTCTTTGGTATTGCATTGTTTGTATTAATTATAAAAGAAAAGTATGTATCAATTTTGACGGAAACAAATGTTAAATGGAAAAACGATGATGGCTAAAAAGATCGATGTTTCTTTTCATACATTTAGATGCAACGTGAAATTCATTTACTTGTTACAAAAAATAACAGTCATGATTACTCTCGTCACGTGCATTGGAAAATAATCAAGGAACGCAATGGTAAACCTACCTTTTCCGTCTCCAACTATACGGTAAAATTTTTTTATACATTTTAATTAAAATACGCCCAAAAAAAAAAAAATCTTTTTGACCTAAAAAATTTTACACACATTGTATTAGGAATTCTTGACAGTTAACATTGTAAAGGATTTACGTTGTGATTACAACTTGTCATATCGTTCGACATCCTCTGTCAACGTTAATCGTTCTTTAAATAATCTTTCATTTGCAACTTTAATGGATGAAGATTTATCTTTTTCGCCACCTCCACCTGTTTATTCTTCTTCATCGCATAATTGCATGCCTGATTCGTCATCGTTACACTCATTATCTCCCGAAAATTTTCATTCCCGGTTAGAAATTTCTGCGAATAATGAAAATGATAGGGTTATTGAAGTTATTGATAGAGGATCAAATCCTTCATTTTTCTTAAATCTTCCTCCTCCAACATATCAAGAAGCTTTGAAAGATTTAGATGGCACTAGTGTATCATTTGTTGAAAGAAAGCAGGGTAATGATGGTGTTGATACTGGTATGGGAAGAAGAGGCAGTTATATTAGAGGATGGTTATAATATAGTAAATAATCGTGTAACAGATATGTTTCACAATTAGGCGAAAAAAAAAAAAATATTTTTTTTTTTTTTCACAGGCACCAACACAGCCTTGATTTTTAGTAACCTTTTTTAAAGATATCCTGATTTTTTTTTCAAAATTTTGTTCATGAAATCATGAGTTTGATCAACAGATTTAGATTGATTAAAAAAAAAAAATCGAATTTTTTTATGATGTCTACTTCTAAAAAAAAAAAAAAAGGAGTGGGAAAATTTTTGATATTTTTTTTTTTTTTTTTTTTTTATATAAATAAATAAAAGTATCAAAGTCCCATCATTTTCTCTCATCAACTTCTTTTTTTTTTTTTTAATCACATTCTTTTAGAGAAGTCATGACCAACTTTTAATATAGTCGCAAATGTCGATTATTTTTTTATTGTTACCATCCACATCTACCTTCATCTTCACATTCACATCCTCTTCCAACCAGCTCATCCTCCACATCCAACCGCAATTTTTTTTTTTTTAAAAAAATAAAAAATAAAAAAAAACTTAACTCTCTCATCAAAGCATATCTTTCAAAATATTCTAGTAAATGTATAATCGCGAAATTTAAAATGGGGGGAAAACGGTGATCGCGATTATACATATAAATAATAATAATAATAATAATAATTAAATATATACTGTATAAAAAATTACATATATATATAAAAATTGGGGATATTTTCACTCGTCTAATAAAAAAAATTTATTTTAGCAATACAACTCATCCAGCTCTTTCTTCCTGTGGGTTGAATTATGTATACACCTTTTGCTATCCTTTTATTTCCGACAAAATTCCCCTGGGTTTAATTATCCGATAGCGGACGTTACGAAAATTAACCGAGAATTACAAAAAATAATTTATCAAACCTATCTCCGATTAGCGGACGTTGCGGAAATTAACCGAGCCTACAATAGGCGACCATTTGCATCATCAAGGTACTTCATCTGAGATATGATGCATCTGGCCACAAATCATAGTAATTAATTTCATCACAATTTTTTAAATTTTTGTGTTTCTTTTGTTTCTTTCTAACTATAAACTGTCTTTTTTTTTTAAAGAAAAAAAAAAAATTCCAATGATTTTTAAAAATAAAAAATAAAAATAAAAACAATCATGTAATAACTAACTCACCTGTCAAGCGAACTAGCCCCTCAAGCGTATAGACAGGTCAGCTGATAGAATTGGTTCGCATATGGAATTACAACGTACGTACAACTCCTCTTTACGTAAGGTCGTTCTGATAATTAATATATATATTAATATACTCCTTTTTTTTGTTAATTTAGGAATCCAACATGAGTAATAAAATAAAAAATTTAGAACCATTAAAATAAAAATGCTCATACCAGACATCCTCTTTCTATATCAATTCATGATCAAAGATATATTTGAATCTCAGGTACGTTATTAGGATGAAGTTGTTATATTTTAACAACGATTCATAGTTGATACAGGTAATTGATTATTTGTTTCTTTTTTTTTTTCAAAAATTCCCTATATTAGATGTTTTTATATTTGAAGCTTCGAACATTCATTAATCCTTTCCAAAAGGCAAACCTCCGTTTCAATTTTGAGTAATAAACGGGATGCCTGTCGAAATGTCCTTGATTAGGAATGGTAATCTTGAAATATATCAAAAAAAATGATGAATTGTAAAGTCAACGTCGCATTCAGCGAAGTTCATAGTAGCGAAAGTAATTGTCTAAATAATGCTGTCCGGTACTATCTTTATGATAAACGTAAAAATTTTGTAAAATTTAAATCTTAAAAATAAAAATTTGGTTGGACGAATTAAAACTATTTGTCTCATAACGAGCATTTCGACTTTTATATTTATTTCAATTTTCATGTTTAAGGTCACGTTATAAATTAATCTAATTCATAATTTAACTTTATTCATCCTTGAAGAAACAATCTTTGATAAAGAAAAAGAGAGAGAAAAAGAGAGGAAATTATATATATATATATCCTTCTAAGAAATAAGAAATTTACTACATAAAAAAAATAATGTAATATATTTATACATTCATGATATTCGAAATAAATGCGAAATTTTAATTATCCAAAAAATAAATAAAAATAAAATGAAGTTAATTGAAATGTAATGCCACAAATTCTAAAATAATAAAAATAGTTATCCCTTAAACTGATACCTTTGCAGGCAAATTTGTTCGAATAAATTGAAAAAATTTTTTTGTCTCCTTTGTTATCTCGATTTGATAAAACAAACAATTTGATGAATCATTCCGAGTAATATTAAATAGTTTTATTAAGAAAATACTTTTACGGGAAAACGCAGGCAAATTAGCCTATTCTACAGTCGAAGGGATTGAATAATAATGAAAATAAATCTCAAAAATAGTTCCCACCAATAAGTAAAAAAAAAGAAAGAAAAAAAAAATGCAATAAAAATTTATAAATGATAAAATAAATGATGAAATAATAATAAAAAAGAGTATCTAGTTTGGTTATACTTACCCACAGAATTAATTTCGCTCATACACTAAAATTACAACCACTATTTAAATTTAATAAAGGAGAGAATAATATATTTTTTTTCAAACCATCTCTCCATTTGATTTAATGTGTTCTTGTTTTTGACCAAAAGCTGAACCATTTTGTTGATCGCCACTTTCTGTATAAGGATTACTATTCCATTTTTTAATACCTTCGTTTTCATTCTCAGGTGAAGTGTTGTTAAGGTAAGGGGCATTATGGTTGTTATGATTGTTATGATGATTATTATGATTGTTGAACGTGTATCTGTATTTCGGCAAAGTATTGGTATTATTATTATTGTTGTTGTTGTTGTTATTGTTGTTGTTATAACCGTTTAAACCTTTGTTATAATTCTGTCGGGTAAAACTTTTATTCTGATGTTGCGGACGTTGCCCATTTTCTAAAAAGAACATCATTAAGAGAAAAACAAATTAGTATAACCATTTAAGTAAATAAAAGTAAGGATTTTAAAAACAATAATCTTAAATACATTACCCGCAGAGTTATTATTATTATTGTTGTTGTTGTTGTTGTTGTTGTTGTTGTTGTTATTATTGTTATTATTATTATTATTATTATTATTATTAGAACGTGGTTTGCCACATTCCACCCGTAATATACCTTGCGATTCGTTCTTCATCTATTAAGTAATAATGATACATATATTAACTAACATTTCATTAATGAATGAATATACAATTTTTTCGAAATTTAGTGAAAATGTATTAATACCACTCCATTAAGACCTAAAGCCTTTTGCATAGCTTGTTCAGATTTCATATCCACGTGGGCAAATTGTTTTTGCGTCATGTAGCGAATATCTTCAATCTATTACAAAGAAAAAATTATCAAGTTTATAACTTTATAATTTTTAAAAGTAGATAAACCAAAAATGTGAAAAAATATATTTACATCTTGACTGTCAAATAGTTCGCGTAAATTATCTATTGACATCGTACCAGGCCATGAAACGAAAATCGTATGTTGATTCTGAGGGAGAAGAAAAAAAGTGTCATTAAAGTCATTAAATCAAAAGTTTCCTCGAACATGAGCACCTCCAAATTTCTCACCTTGTTATTATGATTATTACGATTTCTGTTATGATTAGGAATTCCCATCATATTATTGGTATTATTAGGTGGGAATCTTCTTTGTTCTGGTCTTTGACCGTTATGATTATTTGTCGGAGTTGGGGCGACATAACGATGTCGTTGACCTTCGTTCGTCGCTTGATTGACAATATCTTGATCAGAAGGCCTGGACTAAAAATATATATATATTAATAAAATAAAATAAATATAAATATATGTATATGTCAGATGAACGAAAATCAAAATAAATTATAAATACATACACCATACTCAAAGTTTGGTTCTTGATTATTGTTACTGGAGGGATTCATGTGGTTACCAGCAATTACCGTAGATTCGTCTGGAAGAATAGGTGTAATAGGTTTAGAATCATTTGTGGAAGCTAACGGGTTATTAACTATGATGAATCATGTTTTAGAAGTTTAATAATTATCAGACGATAATAAAATAAGATCAGATTATAATAAAAGATATTCTACCATCAGGGTTTGAAATTTGAATGGAAACGGGATGAATGGTGGTGGATGTTGTAGGTGCTGTTGATGCAGGATTGTAGGTGGTCCTTTGGTTTATGGGCCGGGTTGGATGCTAATAGTTTAAAGAACGATGCGAATGAATTATTAGACAGAATTATTATTCCCTTCGTCTATAATTTTTTTATTGTGAGAAGTTTATGCAACACAACCGAGATAAAAATGATTGTTGCTTTGTTGGTTGATCAACTATTGTCGGATCATTAAAATGCCAAATTTACCCTAATATAATAAATAAAGAGCAAAGTCAAATAAATTTCGGCTTACCTCTGATGATAGGACTTCTTCAATAACTTTCCCAACGGCTCTTTTCAATTCATCTATTTTATGTCCATTGTTACGTCCTGTTACGAGATGATCAGTAGATTTGAAGGACTATAAATTTAAGTGATAGTCAGATCGAGGAAAATTTTGGGATGAGAAATTTGATTGGTGCTCATTTACATAACACTGCATATTGCTAAAAAAGAAAAAAAATATATATAGAAATCGAGCGAAAGTCATATATTCAAGGAAAATATTGACGATACCTTTATCTCCTTTTTCAATTTATCGTTTTCTTCTTTTAACTGTTTTATTTCCTCATCTTTTTGCTATAGAGGAAAATGTAAAGTCGGTTAATTATTTTCTTTAAAAAAAAAAAAAAAAAAAGGGGGGGCTATAATAAAGGAAATAGTTGTAATAGTTGTTCAACTTTTGGTAGATTGATAGATTACCTTAATAACATGGTTCATATCTGATATCTGTTTTTGAACGTTCATAAGCGACTGAAGCGTTCCTTCAAAGTTATTATTAAACATACCCACGGTTTGTTCTGAAGTCTACAAAGGCAAAGAATAACAAACGAGTTTGTGAGTACTTAAAGTTTGAACTTTGGAAAATGACCGAAAGCGGTCAAGAGATCTTTCGGACACGTACAGTCCTGCTGGTTGGTCCGTTTGGGAATTGATTGCTTTCAACATAAAATTCATTTGAGGAAGTTACCATAGCCATATCGGATATATCCTTAAAGAACTTTCTCTAATAAATTCCAGAAAAAGAAAAGACAAAATGTGCGAGAAAGCTTACTTTGGTATATAATACGAAAACAAAAGAAACTAGGGATAATAATAATAATTAAAAATAAAAAAAAAAAATAAAGGGGAGGGGGTTATTTAAATATCCAAATGGTTTTGAAGGAAAGAATTTTTTTGAGAAGTTGAGCTTTGAGTGGTTAAAATATGCGTAGTGGTTATATGTGATCTTTTCGGAGTTCTATAACCTATTTAATATATATAACTTAATAGATTTACTTTGCAGGTGCATAAAAAAAAAAAAATTATTTTTATCATTTAATTTTAAATAGGGAAGTCACAAAAGGAAACTATATTAGGGTTACATATAAAATGTAATAATATACTAGATAAAAGGGCACCAAGTTTGTGACACTTCCCCAAGTTTATTTTACATTGTGTCAAATTGTTGAATATAATAAATAAAATATATTAAAATTTCTTGAATTTGAGCCGGTTTTACCGTATTAGACTTAATTCGGTGACGTTAAGCTGCATTTAAAATTTATAATGGACATATAAAAGTGTTACAAACGTGAAATTCTACACGTTTCTCTGTGTATATATATTTTTATATATATATATATATGAAACAATATATAAAGTGTGGCGAAAAATATTAAATAAGTATTGTAAATAGTTAAGGTACAAGTTCCATCCTTCAATTAGTATTAAAAAAAGAAAGAAGGAAAAAAAAAAAAAAAAAAAAAAATAAAAGGAAAACCCTGAAGATTGCATAATCAGCCTCATTTACTAAAACATGAGAAACATGAGCCCACTTTAAGAGATGATTCGACCTACAGCAAAATCATCGACTTTCAACAAACATAAAATCTAAGGAGATTTTCCTGTAATTAAAATCCACTAATTTATGCGGTGAGACCATTTAAAATTGTCAATCGATCCATTTTTTCCAATTTTTTTTTTTTTTTTGCTTGTATAATTGACTTTCGATCTATTTCCAAAGATTTTCTATTGATTTCATTTTTTGGACTTTTTTATTCTTCATTAAAAATTGCAAAAAAAAGAAATCCTATTCAAGAATAAATGTAATGTTGTACTTACCAATCAAAGGTAATCAATTCAGCCTCTCTTTTGATAAAGGAATGCTTAAGAAAACTCGGGAATGGCATTTCTTTTTGGGGAGTAAAATTCCGATTAACACCTTTTGATTTGAAAATAATATGCATTTGCGTGGCAAAAATATAAGGTCATTAATCTTTTCTTTGCAACACGAGGAAATAAAAAGCAAACCCACAAACACAAAGATCGCATGATGCATATCGCACATGATCTTTCTTTTGGAGACCTGTAGAAAAGAAAAAAAGGTAACACTATATAGAAATTTATTATTAGAAGTTTAACAATCATGTGACTATATATTTTTGATCCATATAATCCTAAATTTGTATTTCATAATGGACCATTTTGTGTAATAAAATCAAGATATCATTTAATTTGTTTTGCTTATTCAGAAATTTTTATCAGATCCCGGGGATTACCAAAAATAAAACGTTAGCTCATTGGTAACGAAATGAAAAATTATTCTCTGATGTTGTTCCTTTTCGATCTGTTATTCGAAAGCGAAAAAAAATTTTCAACTTTTTTTTTGACAAATGGAAAGCGATTTCAAAAAAATCCTGTCGTGTCTAAATTTGTGGCATACATACAGCATACTGTACATTTGATTTATATATCTACATGTATTCGGATGAATTTCGGATGGCTGATTAATCGTAAAAAGGATTTTAGTTGGTAGGACATTTGGTGCGTAATGGAATGAACTTTATGTCTCTCCCAAAAATGTAAACGTGACAACCGTCAAAGAACATTGATTGCTGCTTATAGAAATGTTCTTGTGCACGTGGGTGTCACTGAATCACTGGGCAAAGACGAAAGTCAAAAAAGTAATGAAAAAAATGATCAAGAGATCCAAATATTTTGATCTTGTTTTCAGCCAATTCCCTTAAAATTTGATCTAAACTTTTTTCATAACCAAAGATATTTGATCGCTTTTAAAATTTTCGGTGATTAAAAAGAAAATCCATCAATTTTTTTTTTGCTATTCTCGAATTATTTATCGGGATGATCTCCCTCGGGAATTCAAAAATTTTAGGCGCTTTATTCATTTTTTTTTGTTTCCTTATACATACTATAAAAAATATAGTGTTTAATTAAAAATTTCAGGAAAATTTATTAACAATTTTTTTATCGATTAACCACCCATGTAAAAAAACTTGGCATTGTTAATCTTATCACACACCTTCATACGATCATTACCCATCTTATTCCATTTATTTTAAAGTTTGAGCCACAAAAAATGTTTATTTATTTGTTTACGAAAGGTCGAGTCTGAAGAAGAATGACAAATAAAGGTAAAAAAAAAAATGAAAAAAACCCTTTTACTCTTGATTAAAGTAAGGTAATACAAACATGTCAAAAAAAAGTAGTTTTTTAAAAGAAAAAGAGAAAGAAACTGATTTCTTGTGGTTTTGTTTGTTTATTAAATAAATTATTGAAAGGGAAATAAGAATGTTATTATTAATGGTTTGTAATCTTTTTTTTTTTTTTTCATTATAAACAATTTAGTAAAAGTAACAAAGGAATCTGCGAAGTAACCATAGATAACAAATTTGGTACTTAATACTTTCTTCCAAAATTGTTAAGTAACATCGATTGTACATCACAAGACATTGTCATTTGACTTTTTAGAAATTTGAGATGATCTACGGCCTAAAAGAACCGTTCGTTCGTTGTTGATTGGTTTGCATGATCGTGAATTGGTCATTATGCATTTCCTTTGATTAATTCCCTACTTTAATTTACACATTATTCCAATAGTTTTTCCGTTCCCTTTAGTTCTATAAGGTTAATTTCTTCAATCGAACCAAAGATAGTTCAATTGTTCATTTAAAATGTTGTGCTTGTATGTAAACGAGCAACACGCATCCCCACGCACTTTCACATTCTTTCATACAAATTCTCACACAACAATCCTTATATTTACCGTACAAACAATAGGTTTATCATTAACCGTCAGCTGCGCATTATGTTATCAGATCAGGATTAGTTGATGATGTTGACCACTAATATCATTTAGGAGACACATCCTTTGAACAAATAGCATGCAAATCCTCTAGCGGAAGGATTTAAAAGTCAACGCTAATACGATTCTTTTATTTAACTATTATTACAAATTTGGTTCAATGAAATGTCTCAAAAGTTTCTTTGAACAAACAATGATTACAAAATAAAATGTTAATAGTGACTAAATTCGGATGTATTGTAATACATCAATAACAGGATTTGCTACTATTTCCTGCATGATCTCCGTAGAGAATCAAGGCTCCATCAAGCAATGCCCGGAGTAAGATTCCCAAGACGCCATTTTTATCTCAGTTTTACAATTTTGGCAGTTTTACACCAAAGACCCTTCAATATTTTGCATGTCTCAGATGTATAAGACTCATTTTGGATGAAAACATGTTGACAGAATCGATAATGTGCCCAATCCGACCATTTTTTGGTGTAATCTTTCTTGTTTCATATCTGAACTTTAAACTTTTCAGAGTGAAGTGGCCACAAAGTCCGCTTATGGCTGTTTAATATGAAGTATCGAGACCATTACGCGACTTGTCATTCCAATAGGGCCTTATGTTTTGAGCTGATCTTACTGATGAGCATTTTTTTTTCTTTTTTTGTTTAAACCAACAAACCCGCGAGACCGTGAGATGAATATATAATGGTAAAAAATCAGGTAAATTTTTGACAAATTAATAAAATTTATAAATAAATTTATTAAATGAAGTGCATTTTTATTTTAATAACAACCCCAAATATTTTAAATGAATGAAGAATGAATCAAAATATATCCGATTAGATATTATGTTTCCTTCTTATTACACAAATCAAGCGAACTCAACATAACTGACATAATTAATTTTTACCCACGTGAAGTTTGTTTCCGAGTTTTTGTGAAAGAAATTAAATAAAAAAAAAAAGGCAAAGCAAATGTCTAATTTTTTTTTTTAAAAAATAAAAAAAGTAAAAAAAAAAAAAAAAAAAAAGAACGTTTCATTTGGCGTTGTAATGATAAATGATATTTCTTAATACTGATTTAACAAATGAAATATTTTATGATGTCTATTCTAAAAAAAAAAATAACAATAATAAATAAATAAATATCTCTTAAAAAAAAAAAAGAAAAAGAAAAACCAATGGAAAAGATATTTCCAAAATAAGAGAAAATGAATGAAATTTATTTTTCATTCATCATGCAACAAAGTATTTTCGGTAGTTTGTTTTCAAAACATTTACGGGGCTACAAATAAAAATATAATTAAATTCTTTTTGATATTTATGAGCAAGGAAAGAAATTTTATATTTTAAATCATCCAAAGAGAAAAAATTCTCTATTATTAAATTCTAATAATCAAAGTGAAATGAATAAAACTAATGCGAGCATTATTTCTTTGCTACCTATTAAATTAAACTTTATTTAAATTTCAGGAATGTAGTACATGGTATCTTGGACAACATGGCCGAGTGGTTAAGGCGTCAGACTCGAAATCTGATGGGTTTTACCCGCGCAGGTTCAAATCCTGCTGTTGTCGAATCTATCGATTTTTTTTTTTTTTTTTTTTTTTTTGCTCTTTTGATGGTATTTGTAAGTTTGCGGTCATTTGCAAGAAACTTCACTCGGAATAATCGACTGTTATATTCGAAATATTTGGAATAAATTTCAAAAAAAAAATAAAAATAAAAATAAAAATAAATTTAACTATAAATAAATATATCTCATTGAAATCTAATTTTAATGAATTTCTAAGTTAACAACTAAAACGAAATATGTTGATAAACATTTACATTCATTAATTTATGCCATGCGATTTGTAATTTGTCTTTAATATTACAAATAAACTTTTAAATAAAATTAACCAA